TATTAGTGTGTTGTTACACCATTGATCCATTTTACTTTTGTTGAGTTCCAATTTTCCGATAGAGTGTTGAGGCAGTTCGGCTTCCACCAACCTATTCCGCGGATTCTAGAGAATGATGCTCCACATATTAGATAGGCTGGGTAGGCGCGGTGAGAGAATTGGGATGTGAGGCATGCTAACTATATCAATCTTTGGAATAACAAAGCTTCATACTTGTCAACTCTCACTCCCACTCAAGCGAATGACTTTGACTTCCAGAATTCAGATTACCTGAATTATTATTGGGAACATGGAAAGTCGTTTTTAACAACGAACATCGAAAGACGTCAATTATACAATATAAATTTTTTTGGTAAAGTCGAGAAACCAAAACGGAGAGGGAGTAGGATTTCATCTCACCATGAAGCAAATAAGCGGCAATGGATAATATCCCATCATAATCTTTTGGCGGTACAAATCATTTCATCATGTGTTTGGTGATTCTGGTGTTACGGCCTACACTACTCAGCATATTCCTCATCATCACCCATGTTCTCTCCTATGTTTGAAGCAATATATGATTTGATAAGATGGCATCTATGATGTCAAATCGATATTTGTCCTTAGATGGAAAGCAAAGTGGTGGTGGGCATGTATTTACAAATCACATGCCCTCAGTGAATGAGTAGGTTGTTATGATGAACAAAATCCTGAACAACCGCAACGACCACAATAAAACTGACTGCACCTCGGCATTATTATTCAACAATACCTCGGCACTGACAGGAGTGTAAATGCTTCCTTAATTTGTTGTATTTTTATTAATATTAAATAAAATATTGATATTATTCACATAGAAATATTGATTTTAATCACATTCATTCAAATATTGGTATTAATCACATTCATTCAAATATAACATCAACAAACAGACAAGAAATTCAATTATTCATTCAAATAGAAATAAGATTACTATTAAGCCCTGTATTAGGATGTTTGGAAATTTTTTTGAATGACCTTCACCTATACTAATCCACATCTCTTCGGTTGACCTTTCTCTCTAATATGGATATCCATACTAGTATGAATACGAGTGGACTCAGGTCAACCCGTTGGACTTCTATGAAGCATTGGATTTGGCAACCATTCATCATGATGTTTTTTCAACCAATATGATTCATTTGGGATCAGTCTGAACTCGTGGTTGTAGACATTTAATATCCTCTATTGGTGAAAGCACTCATCAACATAGGTGTATGAATTTATTCCAGTATGCATACATGCAGCAACTGTATGAGCACACAGATATCTTCATGCTTGAAAGCGGCCACAATCACACTATCTTTTTCGTAAATTAACTCTAAATATTTCACTCTGTTCTCATTCGTTCGACATATGCATGCGATGACAGAAAAAGTATGTCCAATTCGATGAAGTCATGAACAAACATTGAGGTTGTCAACGCGCTCATTTGCTTCCATTACTTCCACCACTGTCGGAGCCTAGATTTTACCTTGATTTATCAAACACTCAATCTCTTTCCCTTTACCAGACCAAACTTTAGCCAACCTAAAGTACATCTCTTTCACCACACTAGCTATTGGGAGATGGCGTGTACCTTTTAGTATCGAATTAATGGTCTCATCAATGTTTGTATCGTCGAGCCATATGCTTGCGACCACTCATCCCGTTCGATTTTCGACCCACTTCTAAACACGCTCATCTGTGACCTTCAAATTTTTCAATCTCTTATCAAAATTTGGTTGGCGTAGTTTATATAATGTTTCATAATATACATTGTGTTAACGTTAATTTAGAAACAAACTTTAAATAAATGGATACACATATTGAAAATAAAACTTACCCATGCTGATTATCTCACTACTAATACGACCGTTATGAAACTTCTCAATAATTCTTACCAATATGGCGGATACAATATGCAGGATACGTGCGGAGGTGTCCAACGGCTTCTCGATCGTTCAATTGATGTTAAAAATGCCTGTTCCTATATCGGATATCAAGCAAACTCCATCTTTTCGGACGACAACTTATGTAGATTAGTCAAAAGAAATCCCAAGCCTCTGTCGTCTCTCCTTCAACAATGAAGAATGCAATCGAAAGATATTTCGTTGACCATCTTGCACAACTGGTATCAATAATATAGTTTTTGACCATATAACCATGTACCATATACTTTACCATACGCTTGCAAATGTAAAACCTTCTATGCATAACTTGAATGCCAAAAATAGTCTATGAAATATTCTCTTCCCTTCAATAAGTTGACCTTCTAGGTTGTATGCAGGCATGATATGAGACTTCACGATGGTTCCAGGTATGATCGTTTCATAGCTTGTAACAATCAGGTAGCTCTTGTATGATGTATCTCAATCGCCATATAAACACTTGCTTGCATTCTCCTTCGCATGCCAACCAATTTGTATTTACATTGTATATGAACTAGTCTCGAATAGATGAGACTAACACCGAGCAAGGGATCCTTGGATTTTTTTCAACCAACACCTTTACATATTGACATATTACATCGGAGTCCAATAGTCAGTCTTTTTTGATAGAGTTTTGCAAACATGTGTGTGGACCATTATACCTTGTGATCTCCTAAGCATCTTGCCTCTGCATTTGGACACTCTGATCAGTCACTTACACTTAAGCCCATATTTAACACACTTTGCGTACAAAGTTTTCTGGTTAGAGTCTGCAACCTTGCAATCTACATGGCCTTTTATGCAATACTATTTAATCGCCAATGTAGCTTCTTTTTTCCCTCTAAATTGTTTCCCAACTGATAACGGTGTCAGATATTCATCAATGGTCATATCAAGTTCATCACCATCAAAAATATCGTTGTCCTCCGCCAAAATGGGTTCCTCAGCTTATTCATCTTCACTAGAATCATCAAGTATTTTCCCTCAACGATTTTTAGCGTCAATATCAATAGTCGAATACGGATGATGTATGTTCTTTCCTCATACTCTACGGCTGCAGATGTTCCACCGACTTTGTTTGTACTTTCCAACATCGCCACGAAACTGTGTATAGACCTATGTTGGGTTCCCAATCTGAATTTCAAAGCCATTTGAGATGAAGCTCCAACCATATTCTTGATTACTCATGCACATAGATATATTACACACCTCAGCAAAAACTCAATAATTGGAATATTTGTTGAGTCATGCAATTCAATCATAATTGTAATATCATCATATTCTTTAAGTGGTATTACAACATACATGATTGGATTTGGACATATCATAAACTTGTACCTCAAACCATCAACTGTAGCTCGGATTTTCCATTCTATCCCCTTCTTCATTTCTACAAATGTGATGTCCCTTTTAAACATCATATATTGTAGGTCATTCAAACTGAAAAATAATTCCGACCTCATTTTCCATAATATGTCCATTGTAATGGACAATCATGAAAAAATTCTTGCTCATTTTCTCTACATATACAAATATAGATTCAGAATAATAAAAATAAAATACAAAAAAAAATTTGTGACATATTAGATTAAAATTATATTAGATTAAAGTTATTATTATTATTATTATAAAAATTAAAATAATTGTTTTTAACATTTTTACCACAAATACTAAATCAATATTATTTTAATATTTTAACATTTACTGGAAATACTAAATCACTATTTTAACATTTTTAACATTTTTACTAGAAATACTAAATCAAATGTTGATCAAATTATACTAATGATAATAAGGTAAAAATGAAATTTATTAAACCTTGCAAAAAAATGTAAATATATTAACAATATTTTTTATCAATTAAAATAATAATGTTATATCTTTATTTCGAATATTTTATAACTACGATTAAATTATAATAATGATTAAATATAAACTAAAATTTTATTAATTATAATAAATATTAAAGTTATTATTTTTGTCATTATAATAATATTATTTTTTTCGTCATTATAATTATATTTTTTTAATTATCTTAACATTTTTACTACAAATACTAAAAAATAATGTTAAAATTATAATAATGATATTTACATAACATAAATCGTAAACATATACTACTAATATGTAATTAACAATAAATCGTTAAATATTTTAAATAAAAAATTGACACTCACTTGAGAGTTTATTCCGACAAGTTGATGTTATAAAAAAAATCTTTTTGAATTTCTTACTCATTTCTATTTTACCTGCAACAACATATTAAATTAATATTTTAATATTAAATAATGCGAGCTAAAATAAGATATTATTCGAATAATACTTTAAATAAAGTCTTATTCGAATAATACTTACATATTAAATATTGAAAGAAAATTTCGAAATTTTCTTTAATATTATTCCTGGATGATCAATCTTTCAATTGTTCTCAAAATTTTGCCTATTCTCCCCTCACCTCTGCTATGATCCCAATTCTCAACCAAAACACGTCATTTATACTATCACGATATATTAATGGTGCTCACCTGTTTCTCGTTCAACCACCAACTACCCGGGTTATTAATGGACAATTAATGGTGTCATTAATACTTATATGTTTTCAGTCTGAGGCAACCTACATATACTGCATGGCCTAAAGACGTCGTGCACTCTTGGAGTCTTATACATTGACCTGAAGACGCCGTGCACTCCTGGAGTTTTATCCATTGGCCTGAAAACGTCGTACACTCCTGGAGTCTTTAAATTTAGCCTGAAAACGCCAAGCATTCATGGAGTCTTTGTGTTATTATTGTAGATTTCACCCTAGATAGGGAAATAATTTCGATATGGCCTATACTGGAATTTTCCCCCACAACATTATCTCGGCAATTTGGCCCTTTGTAAACTCTAACAATACTAAAGAATTAGAGTTTAAATGTCGATTTAAATAGTTAAATGATTTGATTGATAAAATTAAAAGATCAATATTCAAATTAGAATCTAACTATATTTAAGCATGGCTTGGCAAGCATCGATAATAAATGTCGAATTAAATAGTTAAATGATTTGATTGATAAAATTAAAAGATCAATATTCAAATTAGAATCTAAGTATATTTAAGCATGGCTTGGCAAGCCTCGATAATATTTCAACTTACAAAGCATCCTCATACCACTCATTAAACTCTAAGCCACCCAGCACCAACTTTATTGCTCAGGATAGCATTAATACGGCTTGCAAAGCAAATACAGTCCGGAAATATAAATCCATTGAGAATGGGCCTACTAAGTACGAATCCATGAATATGTGAATATTCATCACAAATGAAGCAGAGGTTTTCGCATTTAAAGCTTGAACTAATCATCGTCATCAAGAACACTCCGACGTCTCTGGATCTGTAAAGCCAGATAAACAGTGGCATCAAATCAAATATAGCTCTAACTGTGGGCTGCAGACATTAAAAACAAAAGGCTAGTTGGCGATGCGTAAATTAACTTACCGTGACTTTCGTCTGTGTAGTAGTTTGGGTGTTTATCTGTTCCAGCAGTGATATAAGCCTCTCCTCGGAAACCTTCACACGGGTGTAACCGTATGCGTTTCAGTTCCTTATCAAACCTTACTTACAAATGTAGTATTGAATAATTGCACGACTTTAATATTAGGCAGGCAACAATGAGTAGTTGAACTGCAAAAAATTTCGACATACCTTCTCAACTATCTGACCTGTCTGAGCAGCTCTTAGTAGAACATCCTCCACACCCTTAGCCTTCTCAGGTTTCACCAAGGCAATTCGAGCAACTGCAAAAGATATATACCAGCAAAGAACATAATATGAGAAGAATTACATGTATGTAAGAAACATAGCAGAAAGAGTATCGAGAGTAGAACCCTAAATTCATCATTTATGCCTGCCATTAAGTTGTCCACTTTTTTCTTAAAGATGATATCTTCTTGTTTTTAATTCCGTTTAAACATTTCAAAGAAGGTGATAAGGGGCCTTTCGTTTATAATCATAATTGGTAGGACTATTTCAAAAAAAGAGAATTTTGCATACTATTACTATATAATCATGCTTTTCATTTACAACTCAATTAAGCCTTCCACTCAAACAATCCTAATGAGACCCTTAAATCCTACTAAATTCAGATTTTCAAAACCTCTTTATATTTACAAGTCACACAATACATACTTCAAATCGAAGCTGAGCCTAGACCAAAGAAGAGAACAGACCAAATTTGGTCTTCGACAAACAATGTATTCAGGAAACCAAAATATAGCCACACCCATCGTAAAATCTTCCATTGTAGGAACTTCAATCATATGCTCCCCCCCCCCCCACACACACACACACAATTTTTTGAACTCCATACTTAAGTTAGGTCTTTCTAATATAAATAAATACTTATATGAACACAATTCTCCTTGCTTACAGAAGCACAAGTTTCACTTTTCCAAGCCATGACGAAGAACACAGACACTTCCAGACGAGTAAATTAAATCCAAAGGCTTAACATTCCATTGATATGTCATGAACATAGAAGGCAAAACTAAAACCGAATAGTCAAACAAAAAACTTGGAAATAGCAAGCAATCCGATGATAGAATGGACATTCTAAAATGCAAAAGCAATTAAAGTAGGTTTCTTGAACCGAATCAAACAATGAATTGAGATACAAGCTTACGTCTTTCACGAGCTTCACTGGACAAAATCTGACTAAGCATCATTTGCCTCCGTTCATCGGCCTCCCTAAATTAATAGCTTTTACTCGTCAAATCAATAAATTAATTTGATCCCAAGATAAATACTACTCAACATGAATGATTCATAAACAATACGCATATACATAAAAAAAAAAACCTGACCTCTTGGCCTCTTCCTGAGCTTGCTGTTGCTCAGGGTTTTGTTGACTCCCCTGTTTATCAATAGATTATAATTAATAACATTAAATTAAAAGCACAAACAAGCCCAATTCAGAATTCTTCAAGAGGAAGAATTAACTGAAATTAAAAAAAAAAGAGACGTAGATTACCGTCCCTTGTCGAGCCATTAGCTCTTGCATCCTTCTTCGTCTGATTGCTTCTAGTTCAGGATCAGCCTACAAAATTAATAAGAAAAAATTTATAATCCATTGGATTCCCAAAAGCAACTTAATTATCTTTCAGTGGAATTAATAATCCCAAGCAACCTAAATTTATCCCTCTTTTGTTCTTATTAAACTAAAACTCATCAACTACTAATAACCAAAAACAAACAGAAAAGTTAAAAACACTAAAGAGATGTTTGGTAGGCGAGAAATTTAGTACGAATCGAAAAGGAAAAATGAAATAATACCATTGATTGAAGAGCTACTGGATCTCCCTCCTACACCACCACCAAAGAGAACAGGTTAAAATGCTTCTTCACCGGAAAGTGATTCCTGCGGACTTTTCAGCTTCAGCAGTACGCGATTTATATTGGATTTTCCTTTAAATCAATTGTTTTTTTTAATTTAAATTACCAACCAAAATGAAAGTTTTCTGGGTTTGGGCTTCAATGGATTAAGTCCAGTTATAAGACAAATAATCCAACTGGATGAAATCACTTTAATATGATTATAACTAATATGATTATTTTATAGGTAAACATTATATATCTGCATGAAATCGCTCTAATATAACCAACTGGATCTTGATTTCACATGCCAGTCGCTAGATAATATTTATCAGTAGTTACTAAATAACTTCTATGATGAATATCAAATTAAATTTTTATTATAAAATATGTATTAAGCTGTTTGATGATGTAAACAATCTAATAATAAATTTATTAGACATGTCTAATTAAATTAAGTATTTCACACATAATCATTTTTCCACCTAACAACAATATATTTTAAAATATTTTATAAAATTTAATGATTATTTTTTAATATTTATAAAATAATAATAATTAATTTATAGTAATGGTTTTGTTTGTCATTTTTATAACATTTGTATAAAATCCTGTCTAATTAATTTTTTATATTGATAAAAGAAATAGGCCGTAACACTTTAAACGATTCATTCTTTCATATTTGAATGAAGATTATTTTCGAGGATCTTATAAAGAACGTGCGAGGTAAATGAATAAATAGTGAAAAAGAAAAGGTATGTCTCTTCCTTCAAATTTACATGATGACCTATACACTGTCTTTCATATCAGTGTGAGACTGAAATTATCATGACTATTTCCATGTTGACATGTTAAATATATAATTATCGGATAATAAACTCAAATGATATATCACGTAGGTTTATTACAATGATATTAAAGAATTGCAACTCCCTTGAGGATATAGAACTCAGAGGAATTATAAAAAAATTAAAGTTTTCAACAGACAAAAAAATAACAATAAAATCATGAATTATGAAAGAAATTTAAAGGAAACAACAATTTAATTATTTTATACCAAAAAATAATTTAATTATTTTTAAAGATTATATTTAAAATTATAAATATTTTAAGTAAAGTAATAATTTTATTCCTAACACTTTATAAATTAAGAAAAATTATGAAGAATCAAAATCATTTTATTTCTTGTTTTCTTCTTACCAAGACCAATGCAATTTGCAACTAAAGGTTATTTTCCTTTGGAGTTTATTCTTTCCCGAAACTAGATTTGATGACCCCAGTTGATCGTATCTAACGGTCCATATTCAACCTTCCAGATCGAATCTGAAGCCCCACCCAAAAAGTTTATATTAAAACCCAAATAGTCCCCTAAAGGCCAAAGCTTGTAAGAAAACAAATCCGTGGAAATGAGGGGAGCCAGTGAGAATTGAATTGAACTTAAAAACAAACCTCTGAAAATAAGCGAGGTGCTGCACGAAGATCGATAAATACGAAAGACCCAAGAATCGAAGCATCTTAGAAGCAAAGAATTAAAGCTTAGTGGAAGACGACAGGGGAGAATTCAATGGGTTTCACAATGGGCTTGAATTTCATCCTCCTATTGGTCATGGTGGTCACCAACATCCTCTCCCTTTATCACCTCTCCTCCACCGTTCAATCCCCCAAGCCCCCGCTTCCTACCCGTCCCCGACCACCTCATACGGCAGCTGAACACCATACGCGCCGCCATTAACCACCTCACGCGCCATAACCCATCCTCTGCCGCCACAACGGGGAAACCCAGTTCCGTCGTACCTCTAGATCTTACTCTCCATTCCCAGATCGGCCCCATTGCTTCTTCCTGCCATAACCACCCCGACCTTCTCCATAGGTACATGAATTACACTCCCTTTTCGACTTGCCCTTTCGACCCCGACCTCCAGGAAACGCTTATTCTCAACGGCTGCCACCCGCTTCCCGGAGGCGGTGCTTTTCGAAAACCCCTTCGAAACCGCCTTCTTCTCTGCCTTTGACTCCTTTCCCGACTTCCCTCCCTGATTCCGGCGTCATTTGGAATAAATACTCGTGTAAATCCTTTGCTTGTCTTTTGCAAAACAACCCCACAAGCTTCGATCTCAACGCTCAACGCTCTTCGTTGCTGAAATACACTTCCGAGCTCGATCTTCCCATTTCCCAGTTCGTGCAATTGGCTAAGTCGGCTAACTCGGCTATTCGTCTCGGTATCGACATAGGCGGTGGCACCGGAACCTTCGCCGCCGTAATGAAGAAATCCTACAACGTCACCATGCTGACCACCACCATGAACGTCAATGCACCTTATAACGAGGCCGTGGCTCTTCGAGGGTTGGTGCCTTTACATGTGCCGTTGCAGCAGAGGTTCCCGGTTTTCGACGGCACGATGGATCTGGTCCGGTGTGGGAGGGCCGTGAACCGGTGGATACCGGTGTCGGTGATGGAGTTCATGTTCTATGATGTGGATAGAGTGTTGAGAGCCGCGGGTATTTGTGGGTGGACCGGTTCTTTAGCAAAGCGGTGGATCTGGAGAAAATTTATGGGCCATTGATAGGGAAACTTGGGTATAAGAAAGTGAAGTGGGCAGTGGCTAACAAGACGGATCCCAGTGGTTTGAAACATGGGGAAGTTTACTTGACTGCTTTGTTGCAAAAGCCTGTGTCCGAGTCATAATGGTAATTGGAGATTCATTGAAGTTTAGGTAAGCTTCTACCGGAAACATGAATGAAAACCAAAAAAATACTTTTCATGTTGCTGCATTTTTGTGTGCGCATCTTTTAGGGTTAGTTGGTTGTTTGATGATTTAGGGTTTGTGTGCTAATAGTGACATGGCTCTAGTAGTTGAAGACTTGGAAGTGAATTTGTTGTTGATGTATCAGCACTAGTAACATCTCAGGTTCGAATCTTGTGGAGCAAGAAAACAGGGTTGAACCCAAATGACCCTGGCTCCTTTTCCATGAATTTGATCTGCATTTGTGATCTGATGTTGGTGTTTCTTCGTTTGTCTCTTTGGCTCTGTTCAGACTATTGAAAAACGGAAAAAACGACAGCTGATCGACTAAGATTATGATGATATGATCGTTTTTGCATTGTTGAGTATGTATGTAATTGGTATTTTGAATGCCTTCTGAGAATGGAGTTGTGTACGAAGTTATGAACTGAATTATGCAATCCTTTTTTACTTAACTAGTTTCTGCATTTCATGTCCATCAAAACCAACCAAACCTTTTAAAATTTGTTCGATGAAACGTAGCAGCTTGTCCTGTCGAATGTTTACCTAGTCTGTGATCCGGTTATTCCATCAGCACACTCATAGAGAATTAGATTAGAATACATTGATTTCCCCAACAGGCTTTTGGGATAAAGCTCTGCATGTAATTGCATCTAGTTTACATTTTATCAGTTCTTATTCTGATCATAACCAATGTTTTCTTTTCCAGGTATTTGATTTCAGATCACGATTTGCTTTGATTCAGAAAACATTTTCACCAGCCAGTGCTGGTCGAAAGCTTAACGTCTGTGGTTGAAAAAGTCAGAAATATTGTATAATCCGCAAACTCTCATAAAAATGGTCTAAAGCAAATGGCCGATGGACCTCATTAATTACCCCCCCCAACCTTCTTGTTACAGCATTTAGTTATCTACAAGTAAATCTTTAGAACAATCACTGATAATGGACTAATACCATGGTTTTTGTTTCTTTCTATTTTTGTCGGTGCATGTAAAATGTTTTGAGAAGAGACAGAGTCGTAGGATGTTTGAACATAGAAAGTGAGTTTGAACATTGCATTGAAATGCAGCAAATTTCAGAGGGTCCTGAAGGGTCATTTTCTGGTAAGTGGATGACAATTTGTTGAAATAGAAAAACATATATATAGGTCACGCTGATTAAACTCAAAGTTACAAAATAGATATCTATATTTGACAACTTTCAGGATAAGTGCCCAAACTAGGTCATTTTATAATCTTGGAAAATTCAATGATCAAAATAATTATTTAAGTATAATTCAATGACTTGCTACGTTGTTTACTCACATTTTTTCTTGTTAACCAACAAAATGGCATGAATACTTCAATAGTGGGTTCAATTATTGAACAATCATTGCCATAATGTTTCACGGGGGAGTCATTTAAACTTTAAAAAAATTGTTCGAGGCAAGGTAACGAAATATAATTTTGAAAATAATTTGATTTTGAGACGTTACCAACCATTAAGTTAGGCAGGTTGAAAATTTTAAATGATATAAAATGGTCTGTGTTTTACCAAATATTCGTTTTTAAGAGTTTGAGAGTCGGTTACGTGTGGGGAAGGGTTATCATCCCCACAACGCCCAAATTTTGGTACCTAAACAATTATATGTTGTTTAAATATTGAGAATTACAAACTTGAAAATATATTTATATTACGATCCTATTATTTATTCGAAATTATTTAAAAAGTGTGAACAATCTTCGAGAAAACACTTTAGGAGACTTTCCTATAGATTCTCCTCACAAAAGATATTATTTCACAAATTTCGCCAAGATAAAATAAAATAAAACAAAATAAAAGTGCAAAAACAGTGAAAAATACTCAAAATAACTAAACATGAAATAAATAAAAATATCGAATATAAAACAATCATTTATGCGAAAAATCTTCGAAAAGATACTTTCCCTCTAGTTGGGAGATATTCGTAGATTTCCCTCACATTGAGACTTTTTCATTTTCGTATATTAAACAATGATGAATTATAAAAAAACAAAGTGAAAATAAAATTTCATACAAAGAAAGCTTTCAACAACTACATAATTTATATACAAACATGCATGAAATTATAACGATCAAAAACAAAGTTACAAATTTGTACTAAAATGCACATTTACAAACATGACAGGCTAAAATACAAATAAAAAAGACGTTAGGAAAATAAAAGACAATAGCAAAACAGAAATTTATAGGACTAAAACAAAAAATAGAAATTTAAAGGATTAAAATAATAAAAATAGAAAGTTAAAGGACTAAATAGTATTAATAGAAACTAAAAGGGCTAAACATTAATTACAAAATAAA